CTGAATTATTAACATTGGCTTACTTTTTTGTACTTTACTCTATTCCTTCTTTTGTGTATCTACTGGGTCCGACTATATTATCACTATGATTATTACAAAATTGTCCTGTCATTAACCATCATGTAATATTAATTTTTGTGGTTGTTCTTTGTTTGGCACTATTTAACTGACAATCTTGTTTGTGAACGCCACTATCACCATCTTAAAAAATTTTGTATTATGCATGATTCCTCACACTACCACGACAAACACCGCATTAGTGCTGACAATAAAAAAACACAACCTGAAATGTTTATTTTATGATTGTTTAGTGTTGTTCAATTAAATAAATTGATCATGCGATAGACATTCTTAATATCATTTGATAACTTCTTGTATGATATAGTTTTACTGTTCACAACGCATAAACATATCATGGCTTCCACTACCAAATGCTGAGATATTATTTATTATGTTGTTTATTTTTCATTCAACTTGGTATTTTTTTTCTCATTTTTTCGCTATTTTGTGGTTTTTTGTTTTTGTTGTTGTTTTACTATTGATTTTTCGAAATACTGCTTTTAAATGTTTGATAAAATTAGATGCAGTATTGTAGTTAAGTGCTGAAAATCCCACACTGTACCGTTAGTACTGTTTCTGGTCCATGTGCATGGTCGGCGAGCGTCCTAACCGCTATGCCACCGACGCATAGTCTCCCCATAGTCTGTTTAAATATATATGTATTAGTTTCTCTTGACCATTCTGGTTGTCCGAATACTAGTTATCGTAAAGACCTGTGTTCTTTGGCGTGACTCACTACACAAAATATCTGCGACACCGTCATACGAAATACTTTATTGATTTGTGATACTGATTAATCTTTTTCAGTCTGATTAGTATAGGACCCATTTTCCCAATCTAAGCCAACTCAGAAAACGAAAATGATGACTCAGACATCTAAAAACTTGTCACAAGATAAGGACGTCCTAAAGTGATCCTGACTTGATCCGATACATATCTATGTAGGCTGTGATACCTATCTCATATCCCAACACGAACCAAAATCTTTGCCTGTCCATATATCTCTTTTGTCTGCACTTTTAACCATCATAGAAATACAGAGAGAGAGAGATACACCTCCACATATATGTAGACTACCTCAAACAATAATAAATACTAATATACGCGTGGTAAATGAAGAGATCAGGGAAATAGGAGAAGTAAAAAAGAAGAGGAAATAATGTATAGCAAAGTATTGATTATTATACATTATTTCCTCTTCTTTTTTACTTCTCCTCCTATGTGGCAAAGCTGAGTCATCAATCCATTTAACCTCCCTCTCTCACACACACACATAACAAGAGAGATGTCAGGTCACATAAAGTGCATCAGGTGCACTACTGCCTATCCCTTACAGATCCATTGGCGTACATTGAATGAGTCATTCAACCTTAACATGCATACACACGAACACGTAACTACATATATGCATGCACTACAGAAGGCTGAAATTAACTAAAACGTTGCTGGACTATCCGAGTACATTAGAATAAATATGTTCAAATACTAGTTTACTCATAATCTCGTCTTTTGAATGATTTGGAAACATGTCGGGTAAAGTAAGATTAAAGTAGTTACTCATTGTTTTGTCAGTGTTTTGAGTGAAGAATGTTAACAATAATATCATATTAATTATCGTTTTTTGTGTGAATAGCATTGGCCAAACATGGACAAATGAAAGCGATATATATAAATATATATATATATATATATATATATATATATATATATATATATATATATATATATATGACTGCAATTCAAAAGTGATGTATCAAACGAAATAATAACGAGCAAGCTAAGCTGCCGACGTTGTCTTATTTTAAAAGTGTAGGTTTGCACGGATTTGATTAATTTCAATTTTGATCACAAATCGACATCAGTTACGAAACCACTGAAAACCGTTAGTGGCTCTTCACAAACGCTCACCCACGACACCAGAAGCATATGCACCTGAAACCTTCAGGATATGAGGCCAAGCTTGTTGACCATTTTAGCCACTGGCATGAGGATAGATACCAATGATACTAGCTGAGGTGGTCGTGTTATATCGTGAACTCACAGAAGTGAGAACTCAGGTCATTAGTTTTGTTCCAGTGGCTCACTCACTGGTATACGAACTTACCTGGTAACCCGAAAGTCCTAGTCCTTAATGGGGTCACATGTGTGCGTACTGATGAAGAGACCCGAACATTAGGACGAACACAGACTATCCTGCACACAGTACTCCACGATTTCTAAACGTTCTCTAAATGAGGTGAATTCGTGATCAAATTTAAAATCTGACTCCATGTAGTACGTATATACGTCAACTAGACAATTCACAGGGATGTAAGTAATCGAAATAATGGAGCATCGTAATTTTCAATAGTTCTCTCACCCCCCCCCACCATTATGTTTATCTGTTTGTTCTATACACACAATCATCTCTACCTTTATCATAAACTACTGCCAGCCAGAATAAGAATAGAGTATGATGAAATGTTATTGTGTAAAACGCAACATTTCAATGTTTAGTATTTCCATCATCATGGAAAGGATGATATCAGAAAGCCTCTTAAGTGAATCAATCAGAGATTTATAAAGTATGCAGTGTCGGATTAACACCTCTTTTCTCACCACTTATTACTCGTGAATTTTTTTCAGCTGTTTCTTAAATCATAATGTCGAGTCGTAGATTGATTAGTGCGAACGGCATTTTAAAGAGTACTAGACAACAACATCATTAACGTAACAGTAACAACCAGTGGGGTACACACACCACGAACAGATTAAGAAGTAAATAAACATATTAGTTTTGAGCGAAAAACACAGAAGAATAAGACCCTCTAGAAGTATAAGCATAAAATTTACACAAACAAACAATCAGGATTTCTACTCTTTTGGTGACGGTGGTGATGGTTAGTCAGGTTAGGCGATCCAGAAGGCGACTTCCGTACTGTTTTAGAACTCATTAGTTGGATTTATCTGACCTTCTGACCGCTTGTACAACCAGGATGTGATTTGAAATAATTTTTTTATCCAGGCGAATCACAGCTCAGCGGCCTTACGGGTAACACCTGAAGTGTGTGAAGCGGATTCTGCTCGGTTTACATCTTACTGGGGACACCGCCCAGTTGACGACACCCTAACAGGACGAAACCCAAGTTTTAGATTCCACTGTGCCACCATCACAACTACACGGGTAACTTTGAATACTTGGCCCTGGACAGTGTCGAGGAATCAGTTTCGACGATGCGTGGTTAATGAGTCGGAACAAAAAAAGATTTAGGATTGCATAGATAAAATGAAAAACACTTAGGCAAAGTTAAACTATCCTAGCCACAACCACAGTGACCTTGAACAGCCAATCGGAATTCAGATGCAATTCAGTTACATAATCGTTGAAAAATACACTAAAAAATTGCTAACATGATATTACACTGTATAGTTGTAGCTTACGTGTTGTAAGAATGCCTCCCAATCAATACACAGATGATCGATAGATAAATGGTATCATGCTCGGTATTTCCATTCATCCAGATGACTGTAGGTCATGGTAGTTCTGACACTGCTCTCCAACCTACTCCTAACTCTAACCATCACCCTAACTTCCAATTCTAGCTTTAACCCTAGACCTAGCCTTAAGCTTAATCCTGAAAGCCATAACCTACCATACCTAACAGTATAGATTTGCAGGAAAAGTACCTAGTAAATATGTAGAATACTGTCTCTGTCCTCTCCAAGTCCAAAATGGTAGGCACGACTTGATTAGGAATGACATTTCATAGCATTCATTCCCTGTGTCTGATCGGTTCTTGAAGGTCAACTTTTGAAAGACCTTGATTTAGTCTATGATACTTTAACTTTGCCGACTTTTCATAGCGAATTGACTCTAGTTAAAGTACTTGTTACAAATAAAGATTTTACAATTCTGTAGTATATTATTTTTGGTACCCTCACCTTGATATGTTTTTATCGACGTATTACAATTTGAGTGCCACAGTGTTCTTTCAGCCGGATGATCTAATTACGTCGGTGAAGCCTTCCTATTATCTTTCAAAGATAACTTTTTCAGGGGTTAATTACTTCAATGTGAAGTTAATTCCGATGAGTTTGTAATCGTAGTTTACATCCAAGTAAATGATTCAGTGTTGGGATTTTTACCAATCACACACACGTCGTCCGGATTGCAAGTACTGAATGATGACAAACTCCCAGACCTCACGTATTTTACTAGCTGATAGCAAGCTCGGAGAAAACGAAAGACTGGGCTAAGTGGGGCTAGCGACCCCATCATCCGGTGAAAAAATAGCAACACTACTGAAACATAGGAAGATTTATGTTCCAATCAGAAAGCAAAAGACTGAAGATTCCTTAATTCTTTATATCACTTTTGCAACAGTTATGCCTTTGTCAGCAAGAATATATGAGTCACAACGGGGAGAAAACTACACTACAGAATAATCAAGATACATATATGTATGAACATACTACTCATGAGTAATCCCTCAACACAATCAATCCAGGGTTTAATGAAAATGCAAAACAAATGAAGAGGCTTTTATCGATGATTTTATCTTCCTTACTACTCAGACAAAAATTAGTTTATGAATTAAACAGCGGTGACTGCCTTTTGATGACAGTCAAGGAAGTCAATGAGGGTTTCTGTAGTTATTTTGTTAAGCTACCACCTGGGGTGAACGCAAAATTTTTCTCCGACAATTATGTTCAGTGTAATTATAAGAATCAAAAATGGTTCTGAAAAACATTAAATCTCGAAATTATCATACTTCCACAGAGTACACATCAACACAGTTATCAGGGAAAGAGAGTTAAAATCTTAGATGTTACAAATCTATGGAACTTTATGCGAAAATGAAATCACTAGATTACTTTTGTTTTTCGTATATATATATATATATATATATATATATATATGCAATTTACTCAAATGTCAAGATATTAAGCAATAGACTCACTTGTGAAGGGACTGATGCAGGAGGTTCAATACGTATTGATGGGTCCCATTCTCCAGGTGGTAGTACAGTGGCCGCACTTAAAAATTCATCTAAGCCAGCTAATAAATCAGTTCTAGATCGAGCCTTGTAGGCCACATCATGAAAAACCTAAAAGAGAGTTGTGAATAGGAAAAAGAATAGAAAAAGATGTTAGATATTACTACTGATGAGTAAACATATATAGAAGTAGTAGTAGTAGTTGTAGTATGTAGAAACACTAACAGATGATGGTTAACGTTGTTGTCATTCTTAATTTTACGAATATTCTTTAGTGTGTCAAAATAATTCCCAAAATAAAACTGCTACTATTATCTTTATCATTTAGCCTGAGAAAAAGGTATCTATTGTGATTTGATACAACTGGTTCCTCTTATTATAGTTTGAACAAAGAAAGAATGAACATATTTCAGGATAATAAGCGCTCATTTTATTTCATAGGTTCTCTTCAACTGCACACATCCCAAACAAAATCAGATTACAAGTTACAAATTTTCTGAACATACTCTTATCACAGTGACTTCGAGTTACAGAGAGAAAGATATTAGCAAAATAATTCCAAAAGTGACGTAAGTAGACAAATTATTCAGTGTTAAGACTAACTATTTATAATATGATTAAACAAGAGGAAGCGTCGAAAGGGGGCGGAGGTGGAACTTCAGATTTTGCTTGTAAACAAGGATTGAATAGAGATAAATACACGATCGATCAACAAAGTGAATTTAAGCATATCGTGTGAAGGAGAGTTCAAGAGGGTGGGAGTGAATAGTAAATTGAAATTATAACACAGACAAAACAATTAAGAAAATTTGGAAACTTAATAGTCAGTTCAACTCAGTCAGTAAGTGAAAATCAAAATTTAGCAGAACATTATGCAACAGAACACAAAATGCAAAAGTACGTAAACAAAACAGTAACAATTACCAGGGTAGTGAGAGATTAGTCACCATACCTTTCTGTATACAGAAGTTGAGTCGAAGTCTTTTGATAGCAATAACTTCTGCGAACCAAAGTAACCATGGTTGTCCTTGGTATTGATTATTTTGAAAGCCTGACTAATTTTCGCTGTATGTCAATTAGATATCTGGCAACTACACTTGAGAACCCTTTGCCGCTTTTCATACGTAGACGTTTAGTAATATGCTGGGGAAATATAGTAGACGCCTCTCCTCTCAATCTTACTTATGTACTTGCTGTCGCAAGTGCGAGTGAATTGGTATATGCAGTTGGATTTGATATGAACACGATACTTATCTAGTTTTGTCTGAGTGAATGAGCATGCCGTGTTGTAAAGTGGAATGAGTCTGTTTCAGAGAAATGTTCTTTTCAATGCACTCTTAATTCTTTTTTCAGTTCTTATGGATACTTCTTCGTCTTTGTAAGCTAGACAATTAAATACTGGTTTCTTTTCAACTATATATATATATATATATATATTTATTTATTTATTTTATTTATTTTTTTATTTTATTTTTGGTTACAGCTTGATTCCACACCGTATTTTTGGTACAAGTGTGGAATTTTCAGCGTGGATATCGGTAGCCCAAAATTCGCAGGCGAACCATAGATATCAGGTGTGCGTCGGCGTGGGCTTGAACCCCGGACCATGTGCATGGTCGGCGAGAGTCCTAACCACTGTGCCTATTTCATCTCGACGAGTCAGAAATGCAAAAGAAGCCATAATCAGCGAATACGGAGTGTTATAATTGGAACGCGTATCCATCACTTAATTATATTTAATCTTTTTAGAGCAAACATATGCAACAAATTAAAACAAAACGAAAAAAGGAGCTTTTAGCTTACTTCATCTGACATAAGTACACCCATCGAGCGACCAATTTCACGATATTTTGCTGCATTACCCATACATCCTAAATGAATGAATAGAAATCTTGTCGGTACAGGAACTTCAGTAAGATCTCCCAAAAGGACAGCTTCTTTCAATCGAATGAAGACAGTAATCGCTGTTGTCAGAAAGGTGGTTTCGCCCACCAAGATATTCGATGTCTCTGATCCGGGGCAATTTTTTTTAAGAAATGTAAATCATACTAATTAATTAACAAAAAATTGGCCGCCCCCATCACAAAACCGCCAGCAAATCAACCACAATGATGAAAATGAGAGAAAAACACAAAAAAAAAACAAAAAGTGAGAACAGAGTTATACTGATGTTGAAATAGTATTAATGGAAATAATGAGTTAATTCCAAATAATCAGTCCTCATACCGAATGGAATATATATATATATATATATATATATATATATATATATATATATAGAGAGAGAGAGAGAGAGAGAGAGAGAGAGAGAGTTATTAACTTCACTTAGTCCAACCTTCTTCTTTCAACGTGCTAACTAGCAGCAAAGAGATATTTAAGAGTTCATCGGTCAGGTATGGAACCCAAACCAAGTGAGGCGTCGTTGCAATTAATTTACACTGCAAACACAAATGAAATTAGAACAAATAACCATAAACATTGAGGTTGATAAAAGTGTCAGTTTGGGTCGTAATAATAATAATAATAATGCATATGTGGGTTTTGAAGTGCATGGGTGCTTCAGTGGTTCAATGCTAGCCACCTCCATATCCATCGTCCGGGTTCGATTCCCGGGTGAGGAACTCCTAAAAACATTGCCTTTCTTACCAGCTGATAGTGAGCAGGTTAAATTTAGCATGCATAACTACTAATATGCTTACCGCCTCCTGCTGCTACTGGGATTGAATTTTTCACATGGGTAGCGAGACAACTAACTAACTAGCTGGCTAACTGGTGGTGAATGTGACACAACCAATGACAAACATTATAAGCGTCTAGAGACTAATTTCTGATAAAAATGTTTACAAATACTTAACTGAACAAAAAAGTGAAAATGCCACACAATGGCTTTCTATGTCTTGAAGTAAGGGGGGAGGGGAGCAATAATGAATAGCGCGCTTTATACAGTCTTTAGGTTGACATCATTCGTTTTGCCTTTTTTTGACTAAGGTAGAAAGAAAAATAAATTTGAGCAAAGAGTATTCTTTTAGACAACTTCAATTTATGGCTCTACAGTTAGTTCATATACGTACATATAATATTTAAAAAGTAACTGTTGCTGATAACATTGATGTATATTTTAAATGTGGTCCACCGAGCAAGAGGGCTCTCGAGTGGTTGCGCCATAGGATGATCCTGCATGCCGGTCTCGTCTCTCAAGAGGCAGAGATGGGTGTGTTTGGGTTCTCCTGGAAACCAATACCCAGTCAGTGGGTGTATCACTGTATGAAATGGTGCGTCGGTGGAATAACAGTTACAACGCCCGCCGACCATGCACATGGTCCCGGGTTCAAGCCCCGGCCGACTCACTCCTTTACCTCGCTAAGCCAGAAATAATGCTGGTAAAGAGGAAAGGTTGGGCATGAGGCTAGCAACCCCATCCTGTGAAATAAACACTGCTACAGAAGCTTCAAGCCACTAGCTTGACGCCCTATGTTCCACTGGGAAACGTGAAGGAAAAAAATATTTTAAATGATATCCAGTAGCTAAGATTATTAAAATTACAGGTCATAAGCTTATGTCAGTGGTAATAGGCATAAGAGATGCAATACAAAGCTTAGGGATATTGGATAAAATTAAGAAGAGAATTAATTAATGCAGCAATGTGAATAATAGTTAAAAAGACAATGACAGCTTGTGGAGGGTAGAGAAAATTGTCAGAGTTTTACAATAGAGTGATGAATGTCATGGTAAGGGAAGCGCGTGAACGGGATTTCATATGAACACGTAAGTGTTTGGCTTCTTCAAGTGGATTCTGACAGACAGCTTCAGCTGTGTATATATTGTAGAGGATGAACTTGTAAGGTAAAATTAAGATTAGTCGAAGTACGATGGGTAACTTTAAATGCCTTGTTAACATCGACTTTATTTGTTCAGTAGCTACAAGGGGTGAAGTGAAATCGAGCTACGAAAAGATCTTGTCTGCGTCTTGGTTAACCACGCATGATGATGTTCACAAATCAGATGATAAATATGCTTAAATGTATGCCTAATGTTGTAACTGGCTCCACAGGAGCAGTCCAGCTGATCGATGCAAATAGAGAGGGAGAGGAATATTATATTAGGTATGACAGGACAGGAATGGTTGTGAAACAAACTGTCATCATCGAGGAGATGAAGTTATAAGAATTTAAGGTTTACTGCGGCATTGTTGGTAGATTGGCTTAACTCCTTTAGCTTTAAATTCATTTTCTTGTCAGTGAACGTCTCTGGATAACTATTTTCACTCAGTAATTATTGTATGATATACTGAGTTTTTCAATAATAGACATTCATTAGCGCAAATTACTATTAGGTCTCTGGATCAAACACGCGTTATTAAACTGAGTTTAAAATACTTTAAAGCTACAAAGATGAAGAAATGTGGGTATACTGACCAGTCAGTCCATGTAGGTTATATATGTATTACTTTTTCATAGTGCCGACGTCTTTCCTAGTCAAATAAGACTTTTTACAAATGAAATACTAGCAATTCTCTCTTCCTTTCTCGATGGTAATATACTGTATTGCGAGATGCCGGCAAGCCTAATATGGTTTTGCGTAATTCATATTTTTGTGACAGTATATTATTAGGCGAGAGACAATACAGCGTATGCGAAGAACTAAAGTAGGATTCAGAAAAAAAAGATGACAGGAAAGAAACTGTTAGGTAGGTAGGTAGGAAGGAAGGAAAGAATGTAGGAAGAGAGAAAGGAGAGAAAGCAAACAACATGGGTGTTAATAATAATAATAATAATCATATGATAAGCAGGAGTCTATCATCATCAGAATTAACGATAAGTACTTAAAGAAAGACGTAGACGCAGATGCAAACGCAAACACACGTAGACACGCGCACACGCACACACACACACACTCACATACACTGCAACAAACGGTAAATATTACTGGGATTATTTTATAATACTTTGTATAATACATACAATTTCAGAGACCTGAATAGGCAATGAAAATCAATAGTAGTAGAACATATATATATATATAAATTGAAGTGTTGTTAATATTTATGTTCAAACTAATCCCTACATAGTAGAGAAAATAGTAGTAACAATAATAGTCTAGCTAGGCGGAAAGTCCGGAGGGAAATAAAAAAAGTCACAGCCCCGGTGGAAAAATAAACCTGTGTGTGTGTGTGTGTAATGGACGCATGGAAACATACATACAGATATCAAAATGGTTGAGAAGTTGTGAATAGCTTTCATATTGTATATTCCACCCAACCTTTTGGTTTGTTTACGACTCACTTTTTAACGAGAAACGGTTAGATTATTTAGTTGGATAATTTATAAAGTACATGGACAGTATAATAACAACAGCAAAAATAACATACTATCAGCAGTATCTTTCTCCCACCCTTTTTATTCCGAATTGAAACATAAGCCATCATAGCAACACTATTATTATTACTCTCTTAGGTTTTGAGTGAAAAATACGGCTTCAACATCACATCTCCGCTTTGTTCCATTTCCTGCTGTCCTCTTCAGCTGGATCCACGACTTCCCACAATCTCTCATCTCATCCCGCTTACACAATCGTCTCCATGTCACCCTCGGACCAATGTTTCACTCGTCGTTTCCCATTCAGGTTCGACTCCAGCGATGGCGTTCACTGTGCACGATGTCATTCGACGGACTCCTCAACGTATACCCGATCCATCTCCATTTTCACTTACATATTTGTTGTTGGTTTGTTCCCAGCCAGAGTTTCTTGTTACTAATTATTTCTGGCTAGCCAAGTGATCTTCAGTATGGAGCCAACGAAGTGGGCAGCTGTTAATAAAAGTCTATGGTAGTCTTTCAGAAATTTTTTTCGTGATACGGTGAATTCTCTGAATCATAGAGAAGCACTGGCTGAAGAGAGACTAGTGTTGGAAATTTCGGACTTGTCTCATGTGCTAATATTACTGCAAATCTTCACACCGACTTCAAAGTAATGAAGCTCTGTTTCGTTCTCATACTTCCTCGCTGTATTTGAAACAATACCGCTCAACTAGGTAGAAAAATTGATTGTTATTGTCGGTTAGCTCTCTCTATTATAATCAGCTGGACTCCTGTCTTCTCTGGCTCTTCTGTCAACTTGTTGCTTTTCTTCCATAAACGTTCATGTTTGTGTGAAATGAGACGTAAATCATACATGAAATGCACATCTGCTAGATTCGTTGTCAATCCAGCCTATGCCTGTCTTATTAAACCCCAAGATGTCTAGCATAGTCTATTCCAACCATACTCAGGAAGATCATCGATGATATTAGACAGACTTATCTTACTCTCCTACCTCAAAGGTTTTGGTGAGCATTCTGCAGGGAATCCATTTTCTCCTGCTCCATGTGTAGTTATTTTTCGTCATTCCTTGCCTTCCCAGTAAAAATATAGAGATTGAAATTTTGAAGTTTCAGTAACAATGGTGGGTATTGCTAGCCTCATCTAGCATAACCTTAGCTCTTTCCTGAATTTACTGCCGGTTAGGTAGAGTTTAAAAGATCATCAGCTTGGACTTGAACCCAGAGGATATGAGCGATTGGGGAAAATCCTACCATTGAACCACCAATACATACAATTCCATATCAACTTGGTAACAGGCTCTTCACTCAACTAGACTATTTAAGTGGTAATCATGAGGTGACGATTTCGTCTCTCATGTTATTTAGTTAATTATTTAACGCTCATATGAAACAATACCTGACAATTGATCAATTGAAATAGACAACTTTGAAGTGAATATCCACTGATTACTGTATATCAATAGAGACTCAAGTATATATAAATAGTTCATTTTTGAAGATGTGACCATGATCGTGTCACTTTGAATGTTGTAAATAATTTTAAAAATGAATATTCTTCATTCACTGTGTTCACTAGAGGAGCGACTGCATATATATATATATATATATAACTGCACTAACTACCTGGTTGCGCTAACCTCAGTAGGTAAAACGAGGTTCAAACTCACGATCCACTGTTTAGAAGTTGAGAGCCTAGACCAATGAGACACAGTTCTTTGAGATTCAGACCCGTGTTATCCACTGATGCAGGCAGAAACGTCACTACTGAATTATTCGACCTCACCATTCATCTCTCATAGAATTGTAATAGATATATTGATAGTCATTACTAGGATAAGGTAAACGACATCATGTGTCTAGTTCTCAAACCATTTTAACATCATTACAAAGTGAATCACCTAGCTTGGTGACTTCACATATTGAAAACTTGACTAAGATGAATTCAGTAAGAACTACTGTAGACTATACATACATTGGATATTCTCCAGTGAGAACTGAAGAATTTTACCAGACAGATTGGTTTAAAATCGTGACCCATCGGTTAAAAATTAAAGATATAGATATATAATTCTCAACCCTATAAACAAATGCACATGACAGCAAGCAAGGTTCAAACATATTGACTCATAAGCCAGATGGTACACAATTTCTTGCCATATATACAGGGGTAATTTCTTAATGTTTACTGGTATATTGAGATTAACATTGAACACATGTGATGACTTATGGAGCTTTAGCTACTCAGAAAGAAACCTTACCTTAGTTCCCCTAAGGCTTACACAATTCGTCACGAGGCAACATCAGTGAGCATTTATTGAAAACCAGGTGGCACTGGACAGCTGTTTCATCCCATACTCGGGCACTTTTTATCAGTGCGTCCTCCAAGCCTTCACCGGGTATCGATCCAACAACCTTCGGGTTATCAGTCCAGACCATTAACTATTCAGTCAATGGGCTGGAATTCAATGGACTGTGAATTCTAACCTCATCAATTTGTGATATGTAGCGCTACTGCCAACCAATACCTTCGATGAACAGAGCTCCCACTGGTCATAACTTCGTAGTACAGCTCCAAGATAATGATCCAGTAGCCTTTAATGAGCTGTATTTTAGGCTTTAAGTTGGAGTGTAGTGATTTTGATTGACTTCAGCGTAGATTTTGTCAGGAAGAGGCCAAAACTAGCATAAAGCAGCCGTCCAGTGCTCCCTGAATTCCAATGGTATTGGTTTGTAACAAAGTCTGCAATTAAATTACCCTAAATCCTTACAAAAGAGAAACCCAGTACTCTAAATTTAAAACACTTGCCACTGAGTATTCAGCAAGATCAAAGGAATGCTACAGGAAATATGCAAGTGTTGGCATCAGCCAGGATTCGAACACAACCCACTTGTGGTGTGAGTTTGGCAGCATTAGCATTCGGGAACTCACACAGAGGAATAATTTGCGATAAAAATATAGGAAGGAAAGAAAATGAAACAAACAAACGAGAAAACCTACTACCACTACTACTCACCTTTCCTTGTAGACTACCAGACATAACTTCAGATGGTCCCGAGGTTTGTGCTTGTGCATGAGCGGTAATATGTGCGGCTGTTGCAGGATCAAGAGAATCCATACCAGTCAGTGTAGGCATTTTAGCTAATGATGTATGATAGGGCGTTTCACCAGCTAAAAACAGAAAACAGCCATTATATACATACAACTTTTAAAATAAATACTGAGTAAATTTTGTTTTCTAGTAAAAACAACTCTCAGGAGAAAATAAGATAAATATAAGCTCAATTGAAACAGAATAATATGATATTTATTTTTAGGTTAATTTGCATTTCCCATCAATTGAATGATTATGCTGGAACGAAATGCTCTGTCCTAGTGAACAAGAGATCAGCTCTTGTGGCTCAGCTGGTCTAATGGATAATGTTTTGGCATCTGAAACGGTGGGTGGTCTCAGTGGTGGAGGAGCACCACCACTCACTGGCAGAGATACAGGTACATCCAGCTGCCAACCCCTCCTGCTATAGGACGAAATACACATCCTAGATTCCCTTGCTAGATACCATCAACCGGAATATATGATAATAATAAATTATGAAAACTGTCAAAAATGTCACAAAGTATAACTCGGAAATTATGGTATCGTGTAATTCCGTATTATTCTCATTAATAGTATTAAGCAAAGTAAGTTAGGTGATCAGAGGACGAATAAAATCAGATTGCTAAATTTCATACAGCTATTAAGAGAAACACATCTCAAATGTGACAAAGTCTGCACTGACACACACAATTGTACAATGCAGCGGGATAAGCTGACATCCTAACATATTAATATACCTTTAGGTTGATCAGAAGAGGGGTCTTTAACTTATACGCTATAAATTACAGAAGGTAGACTGATTACTACTCAATATTTGTTTTCTGAATGTCTATTCAATAAATGCTATGAAAATAATTATAAATTAATATTCTAAGAAAAAGATTATCAGTGCGTCAGTGGCACAGTGGTTAGGACTCTCGCCGACCAAGCACATGGTCTGTGGTTCGATCCCCTGCCGACGCACACCTGATATCTATGGTCGGCCTGTAAAACTTGGGCTACCGATATCCATGCTGAAAATTCCACACTTGTACCAAAAATACAGTGTGGAATCAAGCTGTAATCAAAAATATTTAAAAAAATCAAAAAAAAAAATTTATTGAGTCTTACCGTAACAACAAAATGTGAATAATGTGTGGTTAGTGAGTGATGATTGAAAATGCAATGAAAATTTAGATAATGGTGGGATTCAAACCAACAGTCTCTACACTATTGATCTGGCCCTCCTATCAGCTGAGTTATGAGACTACCACTAGGGTTGAGTTGACAGAAAAATGACTAGGCGTTATCGAACCAATACATGATAATCAACAGATACTACTGACAGACTCATAAGGCGAACCAGAATAAAGCAGTTTATGCTGGTCAATAGAATCTACTGGTAATATCTAAAGTGTTCCAAAAACGCACAGTATGCTTGAAAAAAGATACAACCGTTATTTATTCAGTTTCTCATTTAATCCCTATTGATACATTAGAAACTAGTTCCTGTGAAATGTACGCTCTAAATTTTACCCCTATTCGCTATAAATGAATAAATAGGAGGAAGATACAGTCAATTATTTAGCTTGGGATATTTATACAGATACCTTTCTTTTGAAATGGTCATTATTCGACTGAAGTTTGTCTGAAAAAATCATAGTGATTTGATAAACATCCCCATGAACAACGTAATCGAGTTAAATTACAACACAAAGTCAACGAACACTGGACAGTTATTCTGCACTAATTTGAGACTTTTCAGCAGTGCTTGCGCCCAAGACAACATCAAGGATCGAACCAAGAACTGTTAAGTTACAAGAAGAGTACCCGTTGACCATCTCATTTCCCAAGGATGGAATCCAATGGCCCATGAAGTCTAACTTTTATCAATTCCACAGAAGTAGGGGTACTATCAGTTAATGCTATCGATGTGCACCTGATTTTAAACCCAAAATGACCGTTGACAGAGTCATGACTGACTTCCCATCAGAACTCCACGGCGTCATTAACAAGGAGTGGATTAGTTTCCAGGTCTTAGGTTGTACGGATTTAATTGATATTAATGTAGATTTCGTCAAGCACCGCATTATCATTTACACTAAACCAAAACGATTGCCCTGTACCTTGAAGGCCGTCACAGCTCATATTCCTGGTGAAGTCCCGTGTGCTTTAGGATCTAGAGAGTCCCAAACTTGGATTAGACAACTAACTATCTAGTGCTCTACTGTTTTAAATTGTCCTCTTATTAATGTCAGTAGTAAGAAGGCGAAATCCACATGTACAACACAACACATGAATAACTCATTTAGTATTCTCATTCAACTACACATGTGTTCATTATTGACGAACAATACAAGAGAATAATCAGTACTGTGCGTCGGTGGCACAGTGGTTAAGACTCTCGTCGACTATGCACATAGTCCGTGGTTCGATCCTCTGCCGACGCACACCTGATATCTATGGTCGGCCTGCAAAATTTGGGCTACCGATATCCATGCTGAAAATTCCATACTTGTACCAAAAATACAGTGTGGAATCAAGCTGTAATCAAAAAAACGTTATTCTCTGTGAGTGTTTATAACTAACTTCCTGACATCTTTCTTTTATTGTTCCCAAGTGAGTTACTGACGTCGTCAAGACTGTAACCGTTCTGAAAGTGTAACTGTTTAACTATTAAATTATATTAGTGTATACTACTACTACTACTACTACTACTACTACTACTACTACTACTACTACTAATAATAATAATAATAATAATAATAATAATAATAATAATAAACCTATCGGTTGATCGTTCGACCAATCAATTAATTAATTAGTTAATCAGTCAGACAGTCAGTTAGTCATTTACTGAAATAACTAATAACTTAAAATCAAAGTTCAACTTATTCACAAAAAATTTCAGTATATGCAGCAATATAACATTGGTAACTGGTTTTTCTTCATTAATATTATCTTGTTTTAGATTAAGGAACTACTTATTGGTACAGGTATGGAATTTTCAGCATGTGATATCGGTAGCCCAAATTTCGCAGGCCGACCACACACCGGTGTAATATTAAAGGCTATATATATATATATATATATATACAGAGAGAGAGAGATAGCTACACCAAGAATTTTATCACATCATGTCCGTTCGAGGAAATATGCTAAGAATAAATGAGGAAAGAACAAAATGTTAATATGTTAATATATATGTCTCTATAGGGATTATCTAATAATAATAATAATAATAATAATAATAATAATAATAATAATAGTGATAGCAGTATTATTATTATAACGCGTCTATTTCCAGTCCTCTTTACGCAGTTGTTGAACAACACCTGTTGCATTTGAGAAGGTTACGAATACTTTTAATACACTAATCGTATACAGTAGCTAGGCGGAGTCTTGACACTTTAATCAATAAGATGGGAGGAAGTAACAGAATTATTAGTACATATATTCACACTTATAATAATATTAATAATAATGATAATAACACTGCTTTCCTCTTCATTCTTTTGCATTCTGGGTGGAGAGTAAGGCTTCAAACTTCAACTTCAAAGTCCAAGTAACGATTGTATTGTCACACGTTCACTTTCCCTCTTTTTTGAGCTTATGGTCTAGGCGAGGTTTAAGGAGAGTATCGACTGGAAATTAAACCCAAGCCACATGCATAAGTGATGAGCATTCTATCCCTGATTGAAAAACAGAGTGCACTAGACAGCTTATTTCATCCTAGTTTGGGACTGTTCATCAGTGTTAACCCGCGACTCAAACTCAGGATCGAACGCAGAACATTCAACGTACGAGGCGAGTCTAAAGAAGAGTATAAAAACTAGATTAAAACAACCGTATATAGCCTTCTGGTTTTCAACGATTCTCTAACTGATATCAATCTGTGGTCAAACTCGAAAAACAAATTTAATCCTTACAAATCAACTTTTGGAAATAACCCAAATTACCAAAATAACCCATAATTGAAATAATAATAGTGTTTTAATAATAACTGGTAGCCTTTCTTTTAAAGGGAAGATAAAGAGATTGAAAATAGGGTAAGTGTAATTGAAAATTTTTATCCATTACTATAAAAAAACGCGTTGGTGGCACAGCGGTTAGGACGCCCGCCGACCATGCACGTGGTCCGGGGTTCGATCCCCGGCCGGCGCACTCCTTTACCTCACTCAGCCAGAAGTAAAGCTGGTGAAGAGGAAAGGTTGGGCATGAGGCTAGCAACCCCATCCTGTAAAAATAAATACTGCTACAAAAACTTCAAGCCACTAGCTTGAAGCCCTATGTTCCACTGGGAACGTGAAGGAGAAAATATTATACAAAAACATCTTAAGAACAAATCGGAAACAATAAAGTGAAGGAAATACAGATATGCGTGTAACAGGATGATTATCGAAGCTCAGAGACAGATAAGGCGACATACAGTGTGAACCGTCATGCCATCAACAGTTTCGAAGTAGTTTGTTCAGTTATCTATAACGAAGGATGCTCCACACTAATGAAGCTTCACCAACAACCACTTACAATTCCATGTAGTTGGAAATAAGTGACATCTTTTGTGCGGGAGCTAGTGGTACTACCTGACTGCCCGAACCCCGATATTATTTCGTTTGATGATAGCTGACAGTGGGATGAAGGATGTGAGTTTCATCCTTTGTGAGGCTCGTCACCTGAATGGTGCTGCTGCAGCTAATAATAAAATCAGCCATCTTGAGAAATTCAAAATAATTCCAGTCGAGATTACAAGGGGTTACTTCACATGTTAACTTGACATGAGTGAAAACTAATTCAATCGGTGAAGGTCAATAATCACATTAAATGGCTTTCTTTTCCGGCTTGACACTCTACGCTTGACTACAGGTGCCTCATGCGGTCGATGTTACAGAGATAACATACCTGAAATTCCGCCGTAAGATGTCTCACCAGAATCACAACCTGGCCAAGGTTTTCTGAATCTTTATACCCCCCATAGATGACCTCGTAGATCTGTAAGTGGGTGGAAACCGGTCATCTCCTCGCACTAATAGCCTCTTCCAGGCAAGTACTATTTCCATGCCTCCATATAGACAGAGGGTGCTGTTCTCACAAAAGTGAAAGAGATAATGCGAGTGTTCGGCACTTATCACCAAACTGGTGGACATAGGGGCTCTATCTAGAGAAATAGGAAAACCCTGATTTCTAACACATAGTGCATACGGGCTCCAGAGCCTGAGAGAAACTAATAGCTTACGAATCCGGTTTGGTCACTGAAGATGTAGCTCTTGACGCTGACCTGTTGGCATGTGAGTCAAAAAGAAAGTGATAAGGCTGATAAATGGGTCCCTTAAGGCAAAAGCCTACTTTCATTTCCGTGTCCAGACAATATCACAGTCCTAGTACAAATCATGGAATAATAATCAGCAGAAAAAAGACCATCTCATAGTACCTATATTGTATTTATGTGTGCAGTATCTCCAAGAGTCACTACAGCCTTATAGACATTTGGATTACCATAACAAAACTGTCATATTACAGTCGTAACGGATTTCTCTCTCTCTCTCGGAAATTTCTTCGCCAGAATGATGACATAACCCATTAGGAGTAAACTTTTTATGTAGCACAGTACCTGAACATTTATTACACTATTATTATTTAACTTTAAGAAGACATTCAGGCTATATCACACATCACACCAGACCCTCGAGTGGAAATCGAATGGTCCTGGGGTGACATGGATTGCATGATTGACACGATTGCATGGGGAGGAGAAGAAGAAAGCTTATAAGAAGTCATTGAGTCAGACGAAAATGTGTTTGCAATGGAAATATGGCGGTGAGACTGCATGTTCTGCTTAGAATAAGAGGAATGAATAATAATAATATCATCACAAAATTAACATCTAATATTTCAAAACTGATCAAGACAATCGAAAACCAAGGAATTCCGGACAGCTGTTTCGTCCTTGTCTGCGACTCTTAAGTAGCACGCCCTCATGACTCCATACACCAGGGATTGAACTCAGAACTTTCTCGTTACAAACAAGACGAGCTCGTGAAGCATTCAACCACTGAGACAGAATCCCAATAGCCCATCAATTCTAAAACTTCTGTCAATATGCAACCACTGACAGACAATGTGATCCGCAAGTGTTCATCTTCACACCCAACTCTTGGTCAACCCCGCTGGTTACAACTTTTCACTAGAATTTCAAGCACCTTCATCCTGTAGTCAATCACTAGTAAGCACTAGACTAATCATTAAAAGATGGAGAAATAAAACACCAACACAACAACAGTAAAGGATAAAGACTATTTATTATTTTATATTCTTACCTTTTTCAACATCTTTGGCTGAATGTCGTTTACCAATATCAGCTAATGATCGAATTAATGGAAGATTTGTTGCACTTCTACCGATAAGTTTAGGTCGTAATCTTTCATGCAAATGAACATGTCGACGTAGTAATACATCAAATAGTAGATCTCTTTGTTCCAAAGGTAAACGTTCTTCTGATACTAATAGATTCAATACTAAATCTAACAAAGTGGAATAAAATGAAGAGAAAAATAAAATGAAAAGTTCATCATGAAATACATGACCAAGAGAGAGTAGAAAATTCGAAGGACTCAATGCCAGTAAGCTGTAACTCACACTTTCCGGACAAACAGCTGTAATAACTAAATTAAAAAGACAAAGAATCTTGGCTAACCATCTCTTATTGTATCTATCATTTTAACTGCTCCTATGGAACCGGTTATATATTGGCCCGGTTGCACTAGGAAACTTAATTTTTCGTGCTCGACAACGCCTACTAGCGTGACTAGATAAATAAAGGTGTAGTGAAAAACCATCAACAGTTCTTTATTAGATTATCATCTCGTCCAAACACGCAACAAAATTCGTATTGCCTAAGATCACTAAGAAGAATGCCGAACACTCCAAACAGACCATTACAATTCACTCCAGAGCAGAGCAACCAAGGATCTGTGTGCTAAAGAAACAGGTCCAGCCACTTTTACTAACCCTGTAACCAGTTGTGGAACCTATAAATTCGTAAACTTTGAAGTATCAGTGTAACGACAGAAGACAAGGGCCAGGCAACAGATCGTTTATTGAGAAAATCAACAGATATTTATAGATTTTTATGTATATTATTATTCGTTATTGTTAGCCGAGAAGCAACGTCTTCTGATTGGTTGTTTTCCTGTAGAAGGTTATTCTGTTATCTCTTTGTTGCCGTTTCTTAGACACTCCGGTGATGTATCTGCGAATCGTATCCGCTCATGCTAAGTCTGCTGTGATCGGTTGTTGAGTTCCTCAAGTTTAGGCTTTGTTCTTTTTTCGTCATGATCAAGATTTGGGACGTAAACGCTGACGTAAATTGCTGTCTACCAATTTTAGCTAGCAGACAGCTCTCGCGACATCAGTTTGTAGGGATTTGATAGATTGGTTACAGGATTTCATCATGAGCTGATATCGGTTACAGAACCAGTGGAAAACGTGGAAGTACTGGACAGTTGTTTCGTCCCAGTTTGGGACAGTGAGTGCGTACTGTGAAGAGTCCCAGTATTTGTGAAAGTATATACATATATATTGTAGAGTGTGCTGTGAACGAGATTTAGGTTGGTAGGAAGCAGTCAAAATTTAAATCAACATTTTGAGTCAATATCATTAGGGGTAGTGTTTATTTTTCAAATCTGGACTTAGTTTAGGTTGTGGTCTGGAAATAATCTCATTGGACAACCTTGCGTCCTCTTATTCAACCTTGGACCGGTGGTCGGTTCACTATCCGTTGCCCTAGATGACTTTTAATGTAGTTAGAAATGTATGAGTATGATGCATTTCTCCATAATAAAAAAAGTCCGTTACCATTTCTGTTATCTTTTCATACTACAAATACAATTAACAACAACAGACGTTTTACACATCATTTAGGGAATTAGCACCAAGTTTAGTGTTCATTTAACGGTCCAAAATGATTTAACACATACATATGTGTATGTGTATATATAGATGACGATGTTTAGACCTTTTATATGTTATAAGGTTCTCCGGATGATATACAACACACACTATAACGGATGATGATGGTCCAACGCACATGAATATATCGACCCTTTTTTACAGGATGTACATTTTCCAAGCTTGAATATCATCATCGTCATCATCAATATCAAATAGTATAACGAAAATAACAAGAATGCCGCTAACTAACTATTACTATTCCAAGTTTGATTTAAGTAAACAACAATCAAATTAAATAATGCTCTAGTGTAATTACTTCTAATCGATACATATATGTATATGGATATATATAAATGCATATGAAACGAATAATGCTGATTATTAGGAAACATGCTGATTTTTAAACATCCACTAATACACACACACAAACACTGCATAACCATCTTCATTTGTCACATTATTAAATACATATAATGTAATGCAAGTAAGGTATTTCACTGCAGTGCCAGCGCTATCGGCCTCTGAATTACTAGTTTGGTAATCTATCTTTCTGAGCTGACAGATCCAGCTGTCGCCATTTCACTACAACTTATATTATTATTCCCTTGGGTTCTAAGTGAGATATTGGGTTTCACCAGCACATCTCCATTTCACTTAGTTCTCTGTAGCCTATTTCGTTTGGCTCCATGAGTGTCCATAAACTTTCATTTCTGCCTCCTCCTCCTCATATAACCTGCTTAATGTCACCCTCGGATACATGCCCAAATGGATGTTCTTCATTTGAGTTCCACTCGAGGGTCTGGCAAATGATGTCATTCAACAGTTTTCTCAGTGTATGTTCAATCCACCTACATATTCTTCTGCATAATTGTTTGATAATAAGTACCAATTTGGTTCATAGTCAGAGTCCTGTGTTGCTAATCTTTTCTGGTCATCCCTTCCTTCAGAATAGAAGGCAGTCTGAAGCCTGTTTGAAATAGTTTTGCTTACGTGATAGGTCTCGGAGCCATATAGAAGAACTAAGTCGACATTACTATTAAAAATCCGGACTATATTCTTTACGCTGAGTGCAAAAGATTTCCGCACTGATTTTACAGCAGAGAAGGTCTGCCTTGCCAACCTTGCCTTTGACCTCTTCATCTGTTTCGCCTGTAGTTGGAAAGATGCCACCTAGATAAGCGAAACAGATGACTTCTTTTAGATTGACTGATCTTCCTTGTTGAGGGGTACGTATATTCATCATCAACTTGTCTATGTTAACTTGAAGTTCTGTCTTTTCTACTTCTACTGCTAATTTGATGGTCTTCGCCTGCAGATCTTCAAGTTTATGTCTCCAAAGCCTCAGGATGGTCGGGGGTGGGTGCCTTGCGCTGCGGGTTGGCCACCCCTCCGCACACCTCTTGAAATGCTCCCATATGACCGGGCGTCTTACATAGCCTCTCCTGAGGAAGTCCTACTCACTGCCTTCACGTGGCGGAGGTGTTTCTCACCAAAGTGAGAGGGCGAAAGCGGATGCCCGGCGCTCTCCACCGGGTTGACTGTCCATTGGATGACGGTCTAGGGGAGATGGCTAAACCCTGATTCCAAACCTCCAACGACTGGCGTATGAAGCTCACTGGAGCTCACCGGCAGACGTATGGACAAAGGGCTTGTTGGATGTCCTGGATGTCTGGCCCCATTCAAAAAGGCGTATGAACCGAACTCCGGTCACCGGCTGCCAATGGATAGTGGACTCCTTACTCCACTCCTACTGCCTTGTAGGTCACACTTGGCTGTGTAAAGGCTAGAGCTGCACTCTCAAACAAAAGGCCGAGCGATGCTGGGGACATTACTCGTACCAAATTCCCATGAAACTTCATGAACTCTCTTACAAATTGCCGCACCTGGGCAGCGATGATTCGAGACGTTCATGAAGCCGGCTCATCCTCCCGTAGGAGATAGCCGAAGTAAAGTAAAGTAAGTAAGTTATGTGACAGTGATAAATCATCCGCGAAGTTCACATCTTCTAATGTCTTCTTGTCGGTCTAGTGTGTGTTCATCTTCTCGCTTTGCAAGCTCTACCGCATGATCTAATCCATCATAATCAGCAATACATCTTCGGTGATAGTAGGCAGCATTGTCTCACTCTTCTATCATCACTTAATACGCTTCGCTCAACCTTCCCATTGTGAATCGTCATCACACTAGCTACCTAGATATGTCCTATCCTGTCAATCCCAATCATATTGAATCAGTAGTAGATGAGCAAGCTTGTTACTTGATGGTGAAACTAAGATAGTCTACAGTTGATAGACTATAACCTGAGTGATGATTGAAAGTGGTGAAATGAAAATCTGTATGTCGTGGAAATGTCTGAACCAGAAGTATTTGGCATTACTAGTTTGGTGCTCTAGCAGGTTAACTACGAGGACCAACTTCTAACAGTGGTCCGGTCTACCAACCACCACTTATGACTACTTTTATTAATTTAACCATCAATAAATCTATATAAATCTAATTAAAACGCCTTTCAAGATTCCCATGCATCATAATTGATATCAATTATTTGGCTATAATTTGCAATTTCATGAATCCTAGTGGGACTATAATCATCCTTAAACCTTTTAAAGACACTTCATCAGTAGGATCTATTGATAGGTTATGAATTTCTCACTGAATTTCCTTCAAGTTTTAAGAAAACTAGACATTCCTTGAAATCTGTTGGAAATTTTCGTCTATTTCACATTTACACAAACTTCTCAGTGGGAGCTAGGTGAAGTAAAAGGGGTTGCAACAATAAGATATTTACTGTATACTCATTTTAGACAACAACATTTGGAAGTCCCCAAGAAAAAAATAACCACCATTCATTCTATGAACAACTAGTACCGAGACAAGCTAAACTTGGTTAAATGTGTTTAAATGGAAACCCTGAATTCATAGGGATCTTGTACTTAGATCACAGGATGTCCATGTACTGCGCCACAGTTTGCTCTGTCCTTCTTTATGACTGTGAGACATAGCGCAATTGAAAGTCGAACACCTAGAGAGGTTATCTGTCTTTGACCACAGATGCTCGCGTTCCATCCTCCAAGTTTAGTGGCATAATTTTATGATAAATATTGAAAGTTAGAGTACCTAACTTAGAGTACTGAACTTTTATGCAAATTTCTATATGGCAACTCAGTCAGCAGTCAAGTCAATCTGCAACTAATATACATTTTAATACATGCATCACATTGTTTTAGTAGTAAAACATCTATGACCACAACACTGGGTGTGTGACACGGATTTGAATCTCCATTTGGGGCAGACATCAACTAACTCCAAGGTTGCAGACATACCTTGTTGATAATGTGTACCAGTAAGCACGAAATCCAGATACAGTATTTCCTGTGGATTGCCTCCAAACACCTAATATTGACCACATTTATAAGACAATAAAGGACAAGTTGCATAGTCTAAAGATCAAAATATTTCACGTCAAGGAAATAATCAATGCACATTGAGGTGAACACGATGATGATAAGAGAACCTCTGCAGAGACAATCGACTGCGCCCACAGTCATCATGAATGATGGTTATTCTTGTTTATGGAGAATCACAAGATGTCGGAAAATTCTTTAATATTTTTGAAGTTAAAGCGCTGATAAAAATTCAGTGTGTGGGGTGGGCGATGAAACCTATACAATCGAAACATTCAGCTGAGAACGTGCGTGATAGCACCAAATACGAATTTCATACATATGAAGAGAGAGAGAGTGTGTGTGAGTGAGACCATTTTCACATTATTAGTAAAACAATGTGTTCAATTTTATAATGATAATTTATTGTAACAATATTTCCTTTGTGTCTCTATCTCTCTGCATTTTTCGAGAGCAATCTGTTGCTATACTCTTACGTGAATAATAACAAAACTCAAAATTACAAGTAACAAAATTCTATTCATATAGTTTTAAAGCCAGTCTAAATAATAATCACAGTGATAGTAATAAGAACAATGATCAACTTCACGTGACCCACTTTACTCCGTATTCTTAGCGCTAGTGTCTCAGAACGTTGTGATCTAGGTGTGAACCGTATATTAAATACACAATAGCCAGGCTATGAGCTACACAATTTTTTTGTGTGCAGTTGTTTGATGATACTACACTACCCAGTTGCTAAGACGCGCGCAGGGCAGTTGGTTGGAGTGGGATTCGACTTCGGGACCCACTGGAGGCCGAAAGTTGGGCGCCTACACACCACCAACACCACCATGAGTAACACCCCCATGTTAAACAACAAGCAGGTAAAGCGAACAATACAAAACAACACCAACACAAACATTTTCAACACATACCTGCAATCTGTTCCATTGTATAACTTTCTAAGTTTAGCATAATAACTCCACTAGCTAAACAACTACGTAATTCAAATAATGAGAATAATGGAAGTGTTGCCACATGAGGTTTAGACCAACGTTCACCATTCTCTTCAACATCTTCTTCAAATTTTATCCATCTTATAGAGTGGGAAGTAATTAGAATACAGAAAAAAACAAGAAAAAATGAAATCTCTGTAAATCAACAAGTGTAAGTTAATTTCATAATCAAAAAAATTTAATTCACGTAGTGGGCGATAATCTGGGTTATTAAGTGAATACTATTCATCTAAGTACATATTAACACATGTACTGGAGTTTTTGTGGTTAGCATACTTTTAATTTCACCTTTATAACTTTCTTTTCCTTCTATCTTCTCTTTACCATCTTTTTACACTATTATTATTATGTGCAAATCAAAAATCAAAGTTGAGTATTAATTTTATTTTGGTGAGTAGTATTCAAACTATCTGTCATCTTATGAGTTAAGATTAGTCATGCAAAAATTTCTTTATATAGTCACATATAGTTTACATATATTAAATTTACTGATTTATTTATTTTTAGGAAGTTTCCTTGTCTCCCGTTTTACAATATTTTGTAATCGATTTCAGCCTAGCACGTTTGTCACACAAATATGACTATTTATTTTGACACCCCATAACTAGTCTGTTATTCTACGTTAAAAATGTATCCGCCGCATAACAGCCCTTTATTGTAACGACCACAAATATTATATTTTATAATTGTAAGAAACTGAAGAGAAATTATTGAAAAAAATATTGTTCATTCCGATTGACTTTTAAGTTTCTTTGTATTTCATTATTATCAAACATAGATGTTTATAATTGTATTAATTCTACCAAAAGAACTCCAGTCTAAATGCTAATATATGCTTTGATGAATATTATTCACTTAATAATGACGTTAACATAGATTATCGATCGCTCACTACTTATAGATCGTACATTTGTTGAATGTATTTAACCTTAAACATTGTACAGATAACAATGTTTGTATAGGAGTATTCAGCTGACAACTCCTACCGAAATTTATGAATTCATTAAATACGACAGAAGTTATATTTCATGCGCCGGATATTGGATTTCGTCTCAGGTGCTAAATTGTCAGCAGACTCTCAGAATAAAGGCGACTGATTCAATCGTTGGTGAAAGTTATGAATATGTTCTACTGAAGAGTCCTAAACTAGAATGATGGTACTTTAAATGAAACTGATCAGATTTCTACAAATTAACACCAGAAAGTAAAATAAATCGCAGTTGTTAAACCAGTTGAATTAGTAAGTCGACAGATTGTCAAAACTTTTTGGCTTAGACAGTCAATCCAATGACTGCGTATTTACCCAACACACATAACTAGATAGGTACGTAGAACAACCAAGAAGTATGTAAGAAACTGGCAAGTAGCTTGAGTTAAACTTCCCAATAGAAGAGGGATAGAATCAGAAGAATGTGAAAATTTATTAGAACAGATGCACTGAATATACAATAGGAGAGAAATTAAACAAATATGCGGAGCAAATATATTGCGGAAGAAAACACACGGATACACAGAAACAGAAACAAAAATGCACTCGCGACTATATAATTTATTTTGAGCTATGTCAATAACAATCAGTGTATACTGATTGGAAAAACCTCAGATAGCTCAATTATAGAAGATAGCCTTGCCTTATTAACATGCCTTTTTTCCCTTAGCGTTCCGAATGAACCACACAGGGCTTCAGGCATGAGCTCTGAAGTTTTAGTAGCAGTTGTTTCATTTTTACAGGGTGGGGTTGCTAGCCTTATCTAGTCCAACCATGCCTTTTCATCAGGTTAACTACTGATCAAGTGAGGTTTAGGAGCCCGTCGGCCGGGGATCGGACCTGGACCACATGAGTGGTTGGCAAGATGAATTACTGGTGCACGCGGTTAAGACCAACAATAGCCTTGTGTATTCATGCTACGTCTTGATATAATCACTACTCTTAACTTCTTAGCAGTCAGAAGTGCTTTTGAATAGAAGATGGACCAGTAAACCCATCAAACACATATATCGTTATGAGGGTACTGAACTTATGGAGAATTTTAAAAGCTCACTTCATATTGAAAACAGAGCATTGAAGATGTTCTCTAGAAAGATAATGAAAGCTTCACAATGAAACCGTCCACGTGAGAGAACACAACTAAACAAACATCGTCAGCCTAAGTTACTAGTCTTCTCCATCTTCTACTTTCAACATTATTCACACTATGATTGTGCCAAGAAAATAGAACATTCCAACGACACCAGTGATTTACAGTCATATTACGTCTTTGAGTGTCCTCAATTTCCAATAGCTGACAGTTACTAATAAGACTGTGTCTTATGAGGATCCTCTAACAACCATACCAATCACATTAGTGTAACTCTTCAAACAAAGCAAATGGATTGACTTATCCAGCTAATTCATTCACTGCCTTTAAACTAAATATCATTGGAGGGCAACATTGTAATAGTGCCTGAATACCTGATAAATAAAACCCTCATGTCAACGATGCTGTGATACTCACTTAAAGATTCAATCAATATGGTAAAACAATTCATTAAATATGACGACGATGTTAGATGGTTGAATGCTCGCAAATCAAACACGTAGTTCGGGATTGCATTTTCGACCAACGAACTTCTAAATACCGACTAGTTTACGAGCTGATAATAAATGCGATAAAGAGCAAAAGTTCAGTATGATGCTAACAAGATTGCCGAGTAAAAAACATATAATACTACCACTTCTGAAATTTTAAAAACTGCTTGAAGGCCAATGTCAGGACAGAAAAGCAAAAGATTGATGAAATGATAAGGATGGGTAAAAGTAGGAAATTTAAAAATTCTGTAGTAAACTATTTGATATCATGCCACTCTTTGTATTTTATGGATTTCGTTATAGACTTCTTCACGAGCCGACCAAAGCAGTCACTACCTCACTGTAAACCAGGGAACAATACATACCGTTGTTTAGCCATAGTTTGGGGCTCTTTAATAGTGAATGCCCATGACCCAAACAGAAATGGAACTAAGAAAAATTTGAGTTCAAAAGTGTCATTGGTCTGAAACCCAGTGACTGAACGAGTAGTAACATGTAGCAACTGAATAAGTGGGAAAAGGTATGTGGGTACTGTTCCTGACAGGAATTATTTAGATTGAGTGTAGTGAACAGACCTAAGTAGCATACTATCTTTTTTAGCAAAAGAAGCCTTATTGATTCAAACCACTGAAGAAATGAAAGTAAAGAAAAAGAGGTATTACTAAGGAAATTCATCGAAATGATATAATTGTACGAATGAGAAAAGAGACTTGACTGATTTCAAGTGACTTCACATTTAGAGAAACATTGAAAACTAGGGAGTACTAGACAGCTGTTGTCTTCGTTTGGGACTCTTCGGCAGTGAGCGCCCATGGCCCCACCAGGGATCTTAACCAGGACATTCAGGCTACATGACGAGTTTGTATACCGTTGAGCCACTGGGATGGAATCTATTGGCCAATTCATCAGTTCGAAAATATGCCGATTCGCGAAATAACGAGACCGCCAATCAATATCATTAGTGAGTACGTGTCCTCAGCAGGGTCCACCAAGTTTAGCATGAGGACAGTTACTCTCCGATGACGTTGGTTGGCTGTGGCGCTGTATATCGTGAATAGTCATTAACTTCACTCAAAACTCTTTCTTATACATTCTGATACTACTTAGAATTGCGACTGTCCATCAAGGAAGAAAATTGTCTATAAAAGTTATTCACTAACACTATACACCTAATCTTAATTATTACTTACAATGTAACGTAAATGAACAAGGAGGAAATGCTATGAAGACAAGTATGACCACAAGCTTGTAATCTCTGATTCACTTTTCTTATAGTACAGACTACTGTACCAACATGCCAGCCTACTGTTGTAACAGTATCTTCAAAAAACCAATATCTGGTCTTTAAAACCAGAGAAGTAATGCTTAGCAGCCCCGTGATACTGTCAGCTATTTTACATATAAGACATGAAATACTTTTCACAATTCTTAGCATTAGGAATTTCTTACGAGACGTGGTTATGCAAAATTCAAAATTCAACATTTTCACATCACGATTACGTAACAGCATCAAGTGAAAAAGCAGAAAGCAAACTAACCTTGCGGCTTCTCGCCACTCTGTTTCTCCTGATCCTGATGGATCATTCCATAACTCATCTAATTCACAGAATAACTGATGTGTTTGTTCATCGTCACCATCACATTCACCCAACAGAAACATGACATGTTCACTTGGATTAGTAGCTGAAGAGGAGAATGAGAAATGTTGTGTATAATGAATGTATATGCAGTTGTTTTACAAAAAAATATCTCAACAGATAGCTGATCAGATTGGCATATAGTAACAACCCAACGAGGTACACTGGCTGGAAAGAATGTTCTCGCAGGTCCTACTAATCCAAAAACGTCAGTTGATAGCGGTTAGGCTAAAAGCAGTTACATTTATATTGTAAGTTGTGTGAACTGTTGGGGTATGTAGACGAATTTGTACTGCTAGCGGAGAGAGATGTGACAGAAGTAAGGCGTTTCCCTCAGATAACCAGCATTTCAACTAAACTACTTCCCAGCTTTGAGGACGGGAAAGGTTAATAAATATCACCCCGGAACACTGTACATCCAGACTTACCTTGCAACAGTCCGTAGCGGAGATAAAATCTTGATACGGACGCAGATGTGTAAGCCCCTTCAAACAAGTTGTATGACCAGACTCAAGCAATTTACCTTTGAACTCTGCGGTCACGCAACACTAATACTCCCTTTGTTTCAGGTAGTTCAGCAGAAAACAATTTTCAGTGTGTACATCCTAAGAGTAATAACCTCCTACACATACTGCTATACGCACACAAAGCTTTCATGAAGAAATATTGGCACCAAGGCTTTCAGTACAATAACATAGCACTTTAGACAACCATTGTTTTTATTTTAGATTATATGAGTGCTTTTGACTATTTTAGTCAGTTTTACGTACTCACTTTTAAAAGATTTAAGCACTTAGTATACCTCATGACTTGACTAAGGAGTAAGCAAGAAGATATGGAAATAAGATTTGCCATTATAAATTACAAAAACAGGTGTACATGAATGTGAATATCGAGTGTGTCAACCAACGAAAGTTTGTAGACTGAACAGGAAATTCTTCTACCATTTGGGTTGTCTCACTGATTGGAAATTTGACCCCACCGACATATAAAAATGCACAAATAGACTGTCAAGTCAGTTTTCACTCGTCAAAAAGAATCTATGCAAGTAGATAAACTTACAATATCAAAGAATTAGAACACAATTTTGTAGAATTTCCACTCTGAATGTGCACCACAACACCATTTAGATCTGCATATATCACGAAAGTCTCAAGTCACTAATATATATTTACAGGGTTAACTTTACACAATTACAAACTGAAGAAGTCTAGCATTTTATAGGCATGGACACTACAGATAAACATCAAAAACTAATCGGAAAATAAATAGGCACTTACGAAATGCTTTAGAACTATCTTCCCTTGTGTTACTCGATCCAATACGTTTGCGTCGTCTTCGGTGACGATGTGCTGAAGGACCGGACCCAATACCTTGTAGTGTACTGAGGGTAGCAACACCATCATTTACAGATAATCCAGCAATCATAGACAATTTAGATCGATGATCTAAAGGGGTGAGAAGTAAAATTGTACAAGGTGGTTTTTGAACTTTGCAAAACAATCTTAGTATAACCCAACAAATCATAAGATCATTTATTAATTATGAATCATTACATAGTTTTGTGATGTTACCCTATTTTCCAGAATGAAATTAGAGAAACATGGTTTTAAGGTGAGGATACACTGCTTTAATACCAAATACCTTTGCCAACTGCAGTTATCTACACACAGTAAGGAACTAGAAAGTATTTATATCTGGAGTGATAAATTTATAAAGTATAGGGTATAAAAAGCCTCAGTGACTGATGTTGTTGTTATGTGAAGTAAATCTCAGTTTTGTGAGAGATGAAAGCAATTACCCGATGACTTGCATTATTACAATGACTTAACTACAACTATTTACTTTCGAAATCTCCCAGGCCAGCTATTTAGCAAGGTCTTGTATATTTATGTGAAACAATTAAGTGTAAGCAATTATTTTAGTAAAATATTAGTTTTGATGTAGTAATAATTTCTGTCTGAGTATTGGTACAGCGCAACTTCTCTGAATCTTTTTTGCTACTCACTTGGTTTCTGTCTCATTATCCGATATGACGGACAAGTGACGCCCACAAAATAAGCCTTTCGGCTCTTAAAATTGAGTTATATATCATGGACAAAAATAACAGTTCAGTGTTCAGACGATTAGTAAACTTGATTGAGTGGAGCTTACTCAGAAATTTTTACCAGCTTTCTGATGAACGGAACCTTCAAAATCCTCTTGGTATGTATGACTCCCTTATAAACCCCTGCGTACCTGTTCCCTCTTCAGTTACCTTATTTAAAATCCATAAAGTCACACTTCATTCCTGATAAAAGTAGTCAGTGTCAGTATAATGTAGTCGCGGTGTCTCTACAATCCACTGAATTCCTGTGTTAACTGAAACCAGTTATTCCCAAACAGCCTATAGTATTTGGAAAATAATTGTTAATCATTATTGCATTGATGGTAATGATTTACTAAATAAGTGTTTAGCATTTTCGAGATTTATACGGAAGGAATATGGAAGGCACTTAAAGGCTTGCATTCAAATGAGATAGAAGAACGTATTAAATCATGAGAAGTGTTTCGAGAAGACTTATGTGCCCCATCCTGTGACTGCACTTCATGACGAACCATCATGTCTAAGTGCACCTACACCAAAATAACGAGATTCAACTTTGGCTACCAGTAAAATATTGTCAACATTTGCATGTGAATACAAACTGATATGGCGATATACATAGTTATTGAGATATAATTATGTTTTAATTACACTTAGTAAATAGTTGAATAATCCCAAATATGAGCTGAACAATCATAAGATTTATTTTAGTAGAAAGGAAACAAATATAACTTCAATTTCCACAAAGAAATATTATAGCATCAGATTCATACCTTCAATTTCATCTTGAGATGGCTCTCCAACCTTATATCTTGCTCCTGAGTCAAGAATAGGTTCGTCACTTAAATTCCTCGGTTCAGACATGAGAAGATATTTCAGTGATATGCCAACATGCAGTCAACCGAAGGGTTTATACAATGGGAATGTTATGAGGCTGTTCTTTACAGTCTGATGAGAGCGCGTAAGGATTTTCTTCTGAAAACCAATCACCGTCCCTTTGACCTTCAACCTGAGTGTCTATTGGACAGTCACAGAATTAAGTAAAAGTTAAGGTAGTTAATTGACTGTATAAAACAGACGTAACCGTTCGGAGGATTCAGAGATTTTGGGAGTCCAGGTGTATTTTGTTTGTTTATTATCACTAAAAGGTAGTTTATAAAACACTCTAGGATTTTTCAGATAGATTTTTGCATTTAACAAAAAGATTTAGAGATGTTGACTTCCTTTACTGTTCAACATTATTTCACTCTGTGAATCATAACCCCACTGTTTCACCTTTCCCTTTTGCATCTAGATTCCCACTGTTGTTGAATGGACTTGTGGCGGTAGATAATTCTCCAAAATCATTGGCCCACAGCATTCATTACTCAGCATTGGACATTGGCGTTCACTGTTTAAGTCGACTAATTTGGCTGAAGGCTTGCGGTGGGGAATCCACGCCACCTGAAAAGCCGTCGTGTTAAGTTTGTTTGCACACGATTCTTAGCTAGTTAGGCGATCCACCTCTCAATGCCATTTTGATCCCCAAATGTACATGTATTTCGTGCGATCAATTTGGTGTTTGATTTGCTTTTCGTCTTTGCAGAACAAATACTATAGGAGTTGTGTGCACTTAAGTCCGCGTTAGTATACTTCGTACTCTCTGCAAGTGTCAACACAATTCACACGTCCTAAACTGGTGAGCCAATGAACGAACAACTGTTTGTCCTCTGAAGACTTAATTGCTGACTTTATGTTCCATCTTCTACTTGAAAAATTTAAAAATTTCTTTTGGGCTCAAAAATGAATTGTCACCTGCGTTATATTTCAGCTGCGCTACTTGTTTTCTAAGATACATGTAGTCATTCCCAACGTTATCTAGGTGGGGGCTTAAATATAGTGATGACCAACAGAGAACCAGTGAATTCATCCAATTTCTCTACAAATTAACGGACGAAAGCCTTGAGAGGTTCAATGTGGGTTACATCATATTTGCCTTTATAGTTAGTATTTGAGCCACATAGGCCTGCTGCAAGAAACGGATTGTAACTACAGGAATCTTCTCTGTTTAATATATACTTTTGAAGGATTGAGCTTTTATATAAGCACTAGCTTTTTCTTGATACATCTCACCAAAAGCGGTTTCCTCATACTTATGAATCAGGGGATTACGAGTAAGTAGTTCTCTAAACTATGTTGAAAGGACGATTAGTGCCATGATGCCATCTAACTTGATGGTTTATAAAATGTAGAGCTAAATCCCTTTAAGGTATATCAAGAATATAATAGATCCGACTTTCATTATTTCTGAATACGTATTCTATTTGAGAAGGAGTAGGCGTAATGGGTGAAGCCACCAGTAAGAGTGCCAACTGCGTTTCTTCTGACATTTCGCGATTGGGATTATGTACTGCACAATCAGGTCGTGATTACCATTCACTGGAGTGAACACACACCTATAATTCATTCGTTCTATTGCCAGTAACGGTTAATGAACCCGTTGTAAGAGTTCTAGCACATATCGGGTAATACGTGCATTACCGGCAATTCCGTTTTTTACCAAAGCGGAATTCTTTTCCAGGTCGTGTAACCCTATTAAGTGACAAACAATCGGTGGAGTATAGCGATACTGGGCTCTTACAATAGCGGGCCCAAAATGCACTCTAGGACACAGTGAGCTCCACAACAGACTTAGTTAAGTGCGACTTTGGGAAAGAAGACTCAAGCTAAACCCTGCGTTTTGCTTCGGATTTGATTACCGAATTTTGTATTCCATTGGAACAAAAAACAAGTTTACCTTTGGACTAGATTATAAACTTGGTCATCACAAAAAGCTGACCGTGATGGTGCATTTTCAAAGAGGCAGAATGTTCAACTTCTTCCGAATTTCCCTAGTAGTTTAGAATAGATTGCCGCTTACGTTAATTAGGTAAGTAGGTATAACAGTAATCATGATTTCACCCAATCTATATCGAAAATCCTCCATACACTTATTGGTAAGGAGCAGTTGCATAGATCATATCCACTTTACAACACTCACCATCATGCTTTATTACCGTGTATATCCACATGAGAATTTCGAGTAGTTTTCTGTCTAACTTGCTATCATGTGTTATATAATCAGAGTTTAGGCTAATTGGAAGTGCAATCTTTTCATAAATTGATTGTGACTGCAATGGCCTGATAAAGTGGGCTTCGCCCTCGGCGTAATAGGGCTCTTCCAGTTGCTGAAATAAAAGACACCTGAACCAGAAAAACTACCTTTATTTAATTAGTGTTGGGTAATTAGGAGCTCTAAAACAGTTTGATATGGCGAGTGATTATACTATAATAATGTATTCTCAGTTTTTGTACATGACAGACGCCAGTTTACAAGCATCGTCAATGTGATAAATAGCATATACGAAGATTAAGCGTATTTGCAATTATTACTTACACATGATATACGTAGAAAAACATTCTGGAATAATACGTATGATGTCAATTTATCCAAGTGGAAAGGATGTGAGCGGTATAATACTAGGAATCGCCATTAAAGAAATTTAACCAAACTACCCTTTATAGTTGATTGTCACGTCACTGAAGACAGACGTGTTAGGTTATTAATAAAGTGGTAGAATTGCATTGTAAAACGTTAGTTAGTTCACGGACAATAATGTTATTAGAAATGTTAACTGCTATTGATAGACCACATCAATAAGTGTCCAGTTAAACATACAAAAGAGCAATGCTACAGCGAAAGGTGATTTTCAGTCATCTTATCAAGTGGCACTACCAGCCTCGAATAGCAGGTATATTCAAAATATAGTCTCTTCAGGTCGGGACTAGTTTGATTTGTTTGACCCATGCTGATGTGGTTCACGTGATTTCCATGCTTATTTGGCGTGTATTGGGTGAAATCACATAAGAGAAATTGTCAATGTAGTTGAAGATTGAACGATCAATTCATGGTTGTTTGTTCAAAACCGACTTCCCCAATTTTCGCGGAGGCATCAATACGACAGTCATCGTCTCATCGGTCGCTGTTCAGAAAGAAGTCAGCAGAAAACCGTCAGAAGTAATATTGTGATTTATTATTCTAATATTTGTTCACAGACCTTAGATAAAACATTGTTTATATGCTGGTGTAACAATAAAGAATCCTCGAGTCGCCAATTGTTGTTTTGGTTTTTCGTCCGTTATTACTAAGCGTTTCTGAGAAACTTCAAGGAACAGCGTGAGCCCGAGCGTAGCAAGAGCTGGGCATTAACGGTTTACGAGACGTGGCTGACAGTTTCTCACGGTGAAGTCAGTTTTCGACGGGTTTGGACCGTTGGTGACAGTTTCGATAGTTACCGTTCATCTTTCCTGGTGCCGGTCAAGTCCTCTTTGAACAAGCAATATCTGGAACATTTTGGAATTGGTTCAAGTCCAACAATGCCTGGGTCAAAGAAGGGACAGAGCGTCTTGGATGCAAACAGGAAAGTAAGTCATGGTGACTTGTCTGTTAATTGTAACGACGTGTCTGATGCTAAGCATGACATGGTTGATGTTACTGTTTCGCCGTTCAGGGATAAGAGGAACATCAAACTCCCTAAATTTGAACCACGGTGTTTCGATGGAAACCCGGCCGATTATTTATAATTTGTAAAGGAGTTTGAGATCATGCTGAGTAGTTTCTTATTAAGTGATGAATTGAAATTGATGTATTTGATGAGGTATTGCACTGGAGATGCTTCAAGAGCTATACAGTGCTGTAAGCTCATGCCCCCTAATGAGGGATACGCTGAGGCTATGAGCATATTACGTCAAAGGTTTGGAAGACCCTCAATGATTGTAAGGAACGTATACGAAGCTGTCAAAGGTAACGGCAGTCAACTACAAGATGACTCCAAGGCACTCACTGAGTTTTTAGATAATCTTATGACTTATAAGAATACGTTGATTTCTATGAATTGCATGAGTGACCTCAACTCGAGTTTTATACTAGAACTTATAGCAAGACGCCTACCTGATCGACTGCAAAGGAAGTGGGTGAAGATAAGCTCCCGTATGGAGGATGAGGGTATCGAGCCAAGGTTCGATGATATTCTGAGACTGGTGAAGGACAGTGTCAACCAGGCGATGGGCAAATTCGACGGCATTTTGCATTCCAAGGTAGAACCTAAGGAACCAGTGAATATAAGGAAGGCATTTGTGGTGAAGTCTCAAGACAAAACGAGAAAGGATGAGTGTATTGTTTGCCATAACATGCATCAATTGAGTGATTGTAATCGCTTTATCGCTATGTCACCCGTAGAAAGGTTAAAAATGGCAAAGCAGAAGCGGCAGTGTTTCAGTTGTTTAAAGATTGGGCATACAAAGTGGAATCGTAAGGCGACAAATAAAAGAAGTAGTGGTTTAACGGATATGCACCCACTTCTGAGAACAGTGAACGAACCTGGGAGTTCGGTTAATTGTAATAGTATATCTAGACCACTTGACGCCCCACAAGTTTTCTTAGGGGTATTACCAGTTAAGGTGAAGGACCGAAATCTTCAGTAGAGACTTATGCATTCTTGGACAATGGTTAAAAGGTCAAATTGATAGATGCAAAACTGGCTGGTTGCTTGGGTATTAAAGGCCCAAAGCAACCCTTGTGTCGGCCAAGACTCGTAAACTGTTAATGCCCAGCTCTTGCTACGCTCGGGCTCACGCTGTTCCTTGAAGTTTCTCAGAAACGCTTAGTAATAACGGACGAAAAACCAAAACAACAATTGGCGGCTCGAGGATTCTTTATTGTTACACCAGCATATAAACAATGTTTTATCTAAGGTCTGTGAACAAATATTAGAATAATAAATCACAATATTACTTCTGACGGTTTTCTGCTGACTTCTTTCTGAACAGCGACCGATGAGACGATG